TAGTCTGGTGGACAGCTACGGATAAAAATGTAATATCAAAATACTACAGAAAGTCCAACGAATGTGCTGTTTAAGCATTTGCGGCGCAATGAGGACAACACCAACTAGGGCATTAGAGACAATTCTATTTGTGCACTTAATAGAAATTCAGATACGGTATGAAGCAGCCGTCGCGGCCTTAAGGCTCAGTGCGACGGATGAGTGGATAACCAAAGGCCAAGCTACATACCATCAAACAATCTGATACTTTTGTAGCTGCCTCATGTGAAACATTAATCCCTACCAGAAACTCGTGGATCGACGGATTCCTACCACCAATACCGACTGGAACCTGTTGTTATACAGACGACTCAGTTTCCTTTTTATCGAGGAAACAATCACCGAAATCTCTTTCCGCTTGCCCGATCACAATACGGTTCTGCAAGGGAAGGTCCGGGCGATTGCAGAGAATCAAAAAATGTACAACTTTGTTCTACCAAAAACCGATTTTGGACTAAGTATTGATACGAAAATGTTCGTGAAGACCTCCTCTTTATTGGTAACAGTTCATTTTGGACGAGGTTTGAATATGAAGGCCTCCAGGGCCGATATTCTGTCCTTACCACCAGTTGGAAATCAGAAGATGTACAACTTTGTTCTACCAAAAACTAGTTTTGAACTAAGTATTGATACGAAAATGTTCTTGAAGACCTCCTATTTAATTGTAATAGTTCATTTTGGACGAGGTTTGAATAGGGAGGCCCCCAGAGCCGATCTTCTGTCCTGACCACCAGTTGGAAATTAGAAAATTGATTTTGGACTAAGTACTGATAAGAAAATGTTCGCGAAGACCTCCTCTTTAATTGTAATAGTTCATTTTGGACGAGGTTTGAATAGGGAGGCCTCCAGAGCCAATCTTCTGTCCTGACCACCAGTTGGAATTCAGAAAATCTCCAACTTTGTTCTACCAAAAACTGATTTTGAACTAGGTATTGATACGAAAATGTTCGTGAAGACCTCCTCTTTATTGGTAACAGTTCATTTTGGACGAGGTTTGAATATGAAGGCCTCCAGGGCCGATCTTCTGTCCTTACCACCAGTTGGAAATCAGAAGATGTACAACTTTGTTCTACCAAAAACTGGTTTTGAACTAAGTATTGATACGAAAATGTTCTTGAAGACCTCCTATTTAATTGTAATAGTTCATTTTGGACGAGGTTTGAATAGGGAGGCCTCCAGAGCCAATCTTCTGTCCTGACCACCAGTTGGAATTCAGAAAATCTCCAACTTTGTTCTACCAAAAACTGATTTTGAACTAGGTATTGATACGAAAATGTTCGTGAAGACCTCCTCTTTATTGGTAACAGTTCATTTTGGACGAGGTTTGAATATGAAGGCCTCCAGGGCCGATCTTCTGTCCTGGCCCACAGTCAGTTCTAGCTGGTTTAAACTGATTTGATAGCGGTCTTACGCATGAAACCCTTCAGAAATGACTTAAATTTTATTATATGTAATTATTTACTACCCCCATTGAGTTTTTAATTCATAGTTTTATTAAATAATTATATAATTTTATTTGTTTTTAATTTTTTTATCAGCACCGTTGATATAAAAAACTAAAACAGAAATTGGGGCATTCTTTGTCACCCTGTGAATTTCGATAACTCATTGTTATTGAATGTTAGAGTCGTTGCTAATGTGGCGTTTCCACTCAATTGATTCGCTCTCTATTCGTTGTTTGACCCTTAACCTTTAACTTCTGAGGTGGTGGCATGGTTAATGTGACCATTTATATTTTTCGTCAGAGCGGGACGCCTGCGGAATTTTGTAAAAAAAAAATTATGCATTTAAAAACAAATTTTATTCAAAAACGGAGAGAATACTTATAAATCTAATTTATGAAATTAATCTTATGTCTAAGTATTTGTTTTATATTTGTCAGCAGAGCAAATTAGTTTTAAAATGTCGGGTCTAGTTTTCAAGTAGGAATGGAGCTGATTACATTGTTTGTTGATGTTAGTCTTAGTAATTAAAATAGCTTTTAAAACTGTCACACTTAACTGCGTTTTTTCACTTGTCCATATTTTATTCATTAGGGAAAAAACTCTTTCGACAGGTGCGTTACTTCCAGGCATACATAAAACATACTCAATAATTGTGCGAAAGTTTGTGCAGTTGAGATTATTAGCACGGAAGTGTTTAAACAGCTCCACCCAACGGTCTTCAGTAGCAACATTCTCATCGTTCCAGCTTTTGATTTTTTCAACTGTGACGTAACTGGAAATAAGCGAAAACTCATCGAACACCTCCGTATCTTGGCTACTGCTAAGAAATCTTTGTGTGATCAGCAAATTCGTCACATTCTGTACGTCTTCCCAAGTAGGGACTTTTCTCAAATTTGACCATTCAAATACTGCTAGTTGTGCATTGAACTGGCACCACTGTTCCAAGTATTCTTTACTTGTCTTATAAAAATCCGCTGCCGCAGTTTTCACATTCTGCTCATCAACAGCAACGTCAGTTTTTTGTAATTTTACCAGTAGATTGCGGACGGAATGAGGAAGGAATCGAATTCTCTTTAAGTTCTAAGTTATCTCGGAGACGATTAATTTCATTCACAGACTCTATTGCGGACACTTTTTGTCCCTCGATTTTCAACACGGCTTGATGAAAAATCGCTGTCTGTGCGCGCAAAAAATATAACCACAATTCAGAGCTGAGATTTTCGAAAAACGTTTTTAAAATAGTAGGGCATTTATCTATGCTCAGAAAATAGGTTTTCAAAGGCTGAAACATTTTTAAAATTCTCTCAAGCGCCGGCATTAAAGCAAGCCACCTGTAGCCCAACAGTTTCTGATACTCTGTGTCGGTGGAATCACAGAACTCTTTCAGAACGTCTACCCAAATGCTGTAGATGTAGAAGAATGAATAAATTTTGACAATGATGCATTCGAAGTCAACAGGGAGACAATCTGCGGCTGTTTTGATAGCATTATGAATTATATGGGCTCCACACCCAATCCCAATGAGCTGCCTTCCGACGGATAGGTTCAATTTCGCGTAAACATTATTTATCCCTTTTCTATTCTTTCCTCCGAAATTGCAGTTTGTATTGTCTGCACAAAATGCCACAATTTTCTCATTCAAATCATTGCAAGATAATACTTCTTTCAAATAATCCACAATTATATCAGATGATTCGCCTGGCTGCTTTTGAAACTCTAAAATCCTGACTCTCACGCCGTATGGTACAAAATAGCGAACTAAAACAGGGAATAATTTTATTGAGCCATGATTGGAAGCATCGGTTAATAAAGATATGCAGTGGGCTTCGTGAAGGTGTTCTTTCAATTCGGTGCCAGCACATTTACAACTATAGCTTGTGATTTTGTACGGGCACATCTAAATTTTTGCTCAAAACATGTTTGTATTAGATTTGAAGCACAGTCATTCGAAAGAAAACTGTGGTTTTCTTGCACTGTGTGGTACGCCCACGCACCCTCCGCTGTAGCTATATCCAAGTCTTTGGAAGTCGCCAAATTTTTTCTTTTAAAAAAAGAAAGCATTGACGAGCTTGAAGCGGCAGCTTGATCAGAAAGCTTGTGTTTTTCCGATTTTAAATGTTTCTCAATATCACTGGCACCACCATGTCCAACACTAAAATCAGTACGACATTTTTCACACGTAACGTCTGATTCACCACTTCTTTGTTTTATAAATGGATACTTATTTTGCAAAGAAATGTTAAAAGTACACTTGCGTTTAGGCATTATTGTAATGTTACAATCACTAACATTGAAAATAAATTGTTTGACTTTGCTCGCCTTCTCCGACTCCGCGATGAAAAGATACCAGAACAATTTAGAGCGTCTATGCTTAGGGTACTGACAGAGTGACAGAAACTTTTTCTGTTTTTATTAGCATTTTTAATTTGGTGATTTCCCTTGTTATGCTGGGGTTAATGTCAACGCCGTCGACGACGCCGAAAAAGTTGAAACAGATTGAACTTTTTCGGCGTCGAATTTCTTACGGCGTTAAGATTAACTGCTCTCATAAAATTTCATACGATTCAATTTTTTTGACATTTGACGCCGTCGACATTAACTCCAGCATTAGCATTACAAAATCTTTCGAGTTAATTTTAATGTTAATGTTGCTTGAAAAAAACTATGCAAATAAATTATATGTTCACGGGGAAAAAAATAACTCATATATTTTTCATCAATATCAATATCCAGTATTTTCGAAAGCGGGACATTTTTGCTCTCGCTGGGGACAGCGGGACAGATAACCTCAAAGCGGGACTGTCCCGCCCAAAGCGGGACGTATGGTAACGTTAGGCATGGTAGAAGAATATAGGTAGACGCGTCGACACAGCTGCTTGGACAATGAACTGTCAAACCAATTTTGGAATTGAAAATGTTGAATGAAAAATTATTTAAATTTGTAAAAATTGTTGAAAAACGCGAATTATAATAGCCTCCGCAAGACGTAGTATATGAAAGTATATGAAAATCTACTTATATTTGAAAAAAAAAACATTTAAATTTTTTTGACATATCAATGCTCCTAATCGTTGATGCATCTACCTGTATTCTTCTGCCATGTGTGGTGGTAAATTTTACCCTCCCTTCACATTTTCTTGAAATTCTCTATTCTATTACAATGAATAAAAATTTTGTTTACATAAATAAATGTTTTTTTTTTTTACTTATTGTAATTTAAAATATACAAGCTTGCTTTTAAAAAACAAATTATTATCAAATAAAATTTTTAACAAAGTTTTTTTTTCTGTAATATTTAGAGGGGTAAAATTTACCACCACGTTATAAAATATGTCACCTCAGATGTTAAAGGTTAACTATGAACAAACTACCTAGTTCTTCACACAAAATTTTCTGAGCGAACACTCATATTTGTTCAAATCAAATTACTCTCAGAACAACGAAAAAATTTGTCCCATCCCTAACAAATGAGAGAATTTATCGAAAATGTGTCATATTTGGCAACCGCTTGTCAAAAAATAAACAAATACATAATTATTGTGTCCGTTACGAAAAGTAATAGAACAATTTTTAATTAATAAAAACGTGTGTGAATTTATTGGAAACTATAAATTAAATGTGCGCGAACGAAAACGTGTTTTTCATATAACCTATATTTGTTATTTTTTACATAGGAGTGTACAATGGAGAAGAAAAAGAAATTTGTGAAAAAACAACTAAATATAAGTCGAAGAAGGCTCGCGTCTTTCACCTTTTCGAAAAAGACAGTTGCGATGTAAGGAATCTGCTAACTCTGGTGAATGCCTTGGAATTCCACACATTGTATGCATCGGAACGATTGTGTTGACAAAGGATAATGATTTGAAATTTTACGTGTGTCTGTCCGATACAACGGAACAAGATTAATCCGTATTTCTTGAGAGAACTGCTAATTGTAAATATTTGACCATTGAGTTTTTGCAATCCTTTCAGTTTCGATCTCAATACTTTTGGGAAATATATTGCCAAAAAGCAGATGAGAAATGCTTCAAAAATAACTTCCGGGTCAGCAGAGAGGTTTTCAACAAATCGTGTGAATTGCTAAATGGGCTACAAAAATCCTATACAAATATGCGAGAAGTAATACCATTGAAAAAAAGAGTTACAATAGGTTTATATACCTTGAGATCTTCTGCCGAGTACCGCACAATAGCAAACATGTTTGGAGTTGGAAAGAGTACAGTCTGTAAAATACTCTTGCAGTTTTGCAATGAGGTCTGGAGAGTTCTTGCTCTAATTTTCCAAAAAAAGTTCTTGCTCCAAAAATTTTCCCCTAACAAGAGAAAAGATAGAAGTACTCTGTCAATAATTTGAAATACTAGGGTTTCCGCAATGTATAGGTGCGCTGGGTGAGTTTTGAAAAGTCGTATTTAAATTTTTATTATAATGTAAACGTTTGCAGACGGTTGCCACATTGAGGTTCATCCATCTAAGGAAGACGCTACAGATTACTACAACTACAAGGGATGATACTCAGTCGTACTGCTTGCATTGGTAGATGCGAGGTAAGTACTAACACTTATATTTTTTGTACTTTTTATATCCTACGCCCCACTGTGGTGCAGGGTATTCTGCAGTGAGATAGCCTACTTCTCTTGGGTCTTCATCCGACTTCAGGTTTAGTGTGCACCAAATGGGATGAAATTGGACACAAGTGGCCGAATTAAGCCAAAAAGAAATCCCATTATATTTGGTGCACATAAGAGTATTGTAACGTATCATAAATTCCGGTCCAACTTTTGTCCTTTTCTTACTGCTTCCAACATACTTTTATTATTTTAGATGTGGTTTCATTTATGTTAGTTGTGGGAGTCCAGGACGTTGCATAGATTCTCAGATCTTTGAAGGTTCTTCCCTCAAACAGCAGCTTAACGAATGCAGCCATTTAAAGGAAGTAAAACGAAATATTTTGGGCGTTGAGGTTCCAGCCCTTATAATCGGCGATTCGGCATTAAAATTAAGCGACAAGTTGATGAAACCTTATCCATTTCAACTGTCACAAAATCTCGAGCAAAAATGCTTTAATTACACGTTGTCAAAATCACGCAGAGTAGTTGAAAATGCCTTAAGGCACGTTTTCGACGAATCGGAAAAGGTATAGATAATGCTCTAAAGTATGCCAATGCAGTCATATTATCTTGTTGTGCTCTTCATAATTTTCTCAGCGAGCACAATGATGTTGTTAACGACAAGTGGTTGAAAGCATTACAATCTGTTGAGGCAAATATATCCTATCCTGAAGAAATTATAATTCATGCAGATCAAAGCAGCGGCCATAATGGGGAAGAAATACGAAATGATATTTCAATATATTTATGTAAGTATTATTGATCCCAGTAAAATGCTATTGTCAAAGAAGAGTTGACATATGCACATTAAATATATGCAGGCATTCATTTTTTAAATATATATTCTTTACCATTTTTTAAGTGCAAAAAAATTGTTATAACGAAGAGGACGACATGTACAATATTAATGAAGCTAATTCATTTTTAAATGTGGAGGAAAAATACACGTTCCCTTCTGGAGAAACCATAAGAAATTTTCAAGATATAAATTAGTATATAATTAAAAAAAAAATAATTTATTTCTTCAGTATTCAGAATATATATATATATATATATATATATATATATATATACATATATATAAATATATTTTTTTTTTCTTTGCACCTTTTCAGCATGATGTGAATGACAATTCTGACGATAGCTCAGTTATGCTAGGAACACAATTGGAGCGAACGACGAATTTTTTCGCGGCGTATGTTCGTCGTCAAAAATAAAACATATATGTGTATATGGAAGTGCACACAATCACGGCACCGGCGAAAATTTCGTCGGTCGCCGCGAACTCAATTAGCTTTATTTCTATTTCATACGCCGGCGACCGGCGAACAAAACAGTACAAGGTGGCCATACTTGTACGAATTTTATGTGTTTTAGTAAATAAAGTTACTTTTTACTTTAAAATTTGTTATGGTCACTCTACTATCTGTTACTCGTATAAAAAAAACATAATTAATTTGTTTATTTATTTGTGTACTTGCGCCTGAGTGAAGATGGATATCAGTGAATTTATAATAGAGAAGATGGACATAAGTGAAATTATAATAGAGAACGTAAAGAATTATGTGTTCTTGTATAATTCATTGTAGTCAACAAATGAGCAAAAAGTAAACAACTTCATCAGCTGTTTTATAATTTCGTCGGTATTGTGTTCCATACGACGAATTTTCGCGGCTCATTTTGTCGCCGCGTAGGGCGAAATTCGTCGTTCGCTCCAATTGTGTTCCTAGCATTATATTTAATTGTGAAGAGGAACTAGGAATGATTGGTGAGGGTGGGGAGTTTTCAATGTTGGACATTTCACATGTCAATATGGCATCAATATCTGTGCAATATACAAGAATAACAATAATATAACAAATATATATTTTTTATTAATTTGTTTCTCACCATTGACACTGTCCAAAACAAGCAACTCAGTATTATAGGTCTTGCAAGGTGCTAGCAACATTTCCATTTCTTTATATAGCTCCCAATCTGATGGTGGACCTCCGGTTGTACCAACTAGACGCTTTTCCTTCCTATAAAAAACATGGTTTTTATAAAGTAAGTAAAAACATACGTTACGGATTGTAAATATTCAAAAGTAAAGAAGCTATAATCTTGCAATATGTATCTACCAGAGGGCTGCAACGAGTATTCAAAAATTCAACCACACTCGGTTTCTTACATGATTTTTGTTGATGCAGTCGTTTTGTTTGATCTGAATGAATTGACCGTTTTCGGATCGGATCGAATCGAACGCTCAGTTTGAATCACATCACTTTCAATCAAACATGAGCGTTCGAGACGGTTTGATGTGTTCAGCAACATGAGTTGGTCGAACACATGAATGTAAATGAGCAATCACAACCGTGATTGTTTTCTTTGAATCGAGTTCGCTCAGCGTCATTGTTTATTCATCCAAATAAGCCTGCGAAGGTAATTTTGACGAACTATATTACAGAGAAAAGAACAGTATTGGGCTGAGAGCTGTTGACAGTTTAATGTTTTTAAATTCTTTTAACAGAAATTGCAACTAAATACTGAAGACTGATATATGTTCCTTTTGTAGAAATAAGCAACTGAAATATATTTTTTGTTATCATTATTATTTTTTTCTTTTTTTTTTTGAAAAAATGTGTTCCTTTTTACAAATAAGTGACTGAAGTCTGATTTTTTGTTATTTTTTTAGAAATAATGTGTTCTTTTTTAGAAATAAGCCACTGAAGTCTGGTATACTATAAGCCCAAATGAAATAAAAAATCGTTATTTAATAAATACCATTTGTTTCGATTTCTTCAATGGGTACTGCTTCTAGTATTGATAACCATACCAAAACTACAATACATGATTACGCTCAGATTCGATCTTTCGTATTTAATCGAATCAAATCACTCACCCTTCAAAAAAATCAAACCGATCGTACTCATCCGAGATGATCGTTTCGGTATGCATTGTTCAACATTAGTTCGTAAACAAAACATTCATGTGAGCTGTTTGATTGCGAACACAAAACTTCGATCAATACATATTCGATCACAACTTTTTCATTTGGCTTGAGCTACTCGAATGAACATGTTACATTTGACCGACTGATTGAGTTTGATTGTATTTCCAGTGTGTGTGATCAAGTCTACTCGATCATACTCATTGCAGCCCTCTGGTATCTACAACAAGCGTGTTGGAAGACAAACTTTCTGTCATTCTTAACTTAAACTGACAAGTTCCGAGAATATTGTACCTATCCTTGAATAATAACGAACGAATTTGGATGCAACCAAAAACATCCGAAGAAGCTCCTTCCACAATGATCGAAGTCAGAGGCAATGAAACTTCATGCAAATTGAAATGTTCACCTCCAATTTTTACTGTTCAAAAACATACCTAAGTCTCGCAGCCATGTTGTGCATCTTGGTTTTTATTTGGTGTGATGTATACGAAAACCCATGTTTCCCAAGTTCGGACGCCATTTCTTGAAGAATGTGGCTATTTTTTCGACATCCACGTAGCTGACTCATAAATAAACCCCACACTTCCAACAAAGCTCGTTCACTTATTATACTCCATTTGTTGGGAGTTTTACGGATACCTAAAACTATAAAACATTATTCTTGGTTATATTAGTATGTTTACTCACCTTTTTTCGAATTGAGCCATTTTTATTAATTGTTATGTTTCCTCCTTCAAAACGTGTCGGTCCCGGCTAATTTGTAAATGGGTCGTGGTTCAGCAACACTAAGACACTTGAGGGCATAACAAGTAAACGAAAAACTGCAACAAAATGGACTAAACATACTAAAACAATTTGAACCAATAACCAACATTTTCGGGGGTCTAGAATACGAGCCCCCTTCATCACCCACCCAACCTAATGTTCCTCAGAACCCCTTTTTTCAGCACCAACGACATCTATTCCTTTGCCGCTACATATCCATCCTTATCCCTTTTCCCCTTCCTTCAAGACAAACTAACACATCATTTTCAATACTAATCTTACATTTATTACATATTAAAATGCTTAGACATACTAATTTAAATAATATTAATTTTCTATCATGAAATTTGTTTTCTTTTTCTTTTCAGATTTAACTACAAATATTTAATAATAAAAAAAAACTTTAAAATTATGAAATTAAATTTACTGTATAATAATGCATTGCCTTTTTTTAACACATTGGAAAATAATAAAAAAAATGAATTTGAAAATTTGCCTGGGTCTAACCTTAATTTTGTTATGTCCTACTTTAGAAATTCCTCACCAGTTAGAGCTCCTCCTAGTAATTATTTCTAATGGACTAACTTGCCTTGTCTAAGAGTAGATCCCTAATGCAATTCATTTAGTTACAAAATATATTATTAAAATTAAAATAAGCAAACAAAAAAAAATATATATAAAATCTTAAAAGTAACAGAAAGCTAACTAGGACACACACAGACGCACAACAAAATATAAACTCGCCGATATCGAGCAACTCCTTAAAATATGCTATCACTTAGCTGTTTTTTTTTTTTTTTTTGGATCCACTCTTCCAAAACTCTCAGCATAGACAAATGAAAATATAGACAACGAAATGCTCTCACCGTTTATCTTCGAAAAAATCGGATAAGCAGATGTCGTCCATATCGTTACAGGGGTTTGAGTGGGAATTTTGAAGTCACTCAATTCAAAAATGTTAAAAATAACAAAAACTGTAGGATATTTGTCAGTTGAAAATTATTTCATAATAAAAGAAATGTGAAAAGTACGTGATGACATCGAAAAATATGGGAATATTCCAGTGAAATTCTTGAAAAACGATAAAATGTGTTTTCGAAGTCGAGTGGCTTGAACGCGTAAATCGGCATGTTGACTATGCAAAAATGATGAGAGCCATCTGGAAAAAAAGACAAAACTAACTTTTCGTTGTCTATATCTTCATTTGTCTATGCTCTCAGTCGGTGGACTCTATCACCACTCTCAGCCGGTGGACGCCAAGTGGAACTTGGTGTGTATTTACATAAACAAATGAAGATATAGACAACGAAAAGTTAGTTTTGTCTTTTTTTCCAGATGGCTCTCATCATGTTTTGCATAGTCAACATGCTGATTTACGCGTTCAAGCCACTCGACTTCGAAAACACGCTGTTTTCATACCACCACTTGGTACTGGTGACTGCAATAAAATTAATACGGACAAATATAAAAATAAAAAAATATCGCGGGCAGAAAAAAAAAACCCCAACAAGCAAATATATTCTGCTCGCATTCTAAGGCGAAGTAAAAATATTGTGGGCAGAAAAAAAGAAACCCCAAACCAGCAATTCAATTTTGCTCGCGTTCAAAGCACCGGCTGAGCACACATCTTCCCACCCTCATGAAAATTGCATCATGTGATGCGTACCAGGAGATACGGCTTGAAAACCAGGTGCTGCACACAATTTGGACTCCTGCCCTTCTACCATAAGCCTGGATGGTATCCGTCACCTTCAGGTATTTAAAATATTCGGATTGGGCTAAGGTACCCAATTATGTTAACCAGCGTTACAGTCGACTCTGCTTAACTGAAACATATATACTGTCTAGCTTGTCTGTTGCTTATGCCGAGAAAATCGGAATGTTGTCCCCCAATCTCCTACCCGTCCCTTTTCCTTAATTCCAGCTGTCGTTTACTATCTCACTGTTACCCTCAACAAAACTCTGGGGTTTCCAAGGAAACTGACGAAACCACAGTATGAGGGTCATAAGGAATGTCCACCTATTGGTCATTATTTCCTTAAATTCCTTACAATATTTGTTTCCTAGTCCTTTTATATACTCTACACTACACTAAATTAAATTGCACTGTCATTAGTTTATAACAATATTACAATTTCCTTAAATCAAACGATATTCGCAAAGCGATATTCGCAAAGTTTCCTGAATTGTTTCATACACTAAAGTATTACTGGACTTATTGTCATCTTTTAATTTGCTCCTACATTCGATTACCCTGGAGAGCTTCACCCATGAGGTTACAATTTTCTTAATGTTAAGTTAACCTACAGATTAAGAAACAAGGACCAAAACAATGCCCTTGTTTCATACTAATCATTAATATTAAAACTATCTGCAGAATATTAGAGAAAAATAATCGCTAACAAGTACTTATGCAATCCATAAGCACAAGATAGCCATTACTTTTCCCGACTAGGAAACTTCATTGCAACTTCATTAATGGCCTTTCTGGTTCGATGCGCCCAACGTAGGCTACACCCACATTTTTATTTCTCCCTCACACTATACTGAACCTTGGAAAAGACTGTAAAGCTTTTAGCAGGAGTTAGCCGGGCATTAAAACAAAATACTTAAGAAGGGAATTTTATCTTACGACTAAACGGATTTATCCTAATAAAATATCATAGTTGTTCTTGAGTATAAATATGTATATGCTATCACAGAGGGAACATTAAACACTGTACATTTAGAAAAATAATAATTTTAAATAAATAATTAAAGACCGAAACACAACTTAATCTAATATTGCACGTACAGAAATATTGCCATTAGAGTAATCTTCTGTTTATTTGTCTTTCATTATTTATTGCTTAATGTCTTTAGCGTGATAGACGCCAAGAGGATCCCCTTTTAATGATTCCAGCCGATACATATTATTCCCTAGAACTTCTGCGACTCGACATTTGGTAAATTTTCTACAGAATTTGGCATTTCTGTTATCCTGAAACTTGCTCAATTTCTTTTAAATACCTCCTGACCCGGACGAAACCGTACTATTCTGGCCTTTCTATTATACCGTAGTGCACTTCTTTCATACGCATTGTGTAAATTTTGTTTAATAATGACCCTAATTATACTAACTCTATCGTCTTTATCCAGAATTAGTAACTCCCCATCGCTTAGAGCTTTTAATTTTCTTGCAAGTTTGTAATCTCTGCCACAGGTGAACATGTTATGCCCAAAAAGAGCAAAAAATGGTGTCACGCCGTCGCTGAGTGAACAGAGGTTCTTAAAGCCAATTCGATTTTAGCAAGGTTTAAGTCCCAATTGGTGTGGTCATTATCTAAGTAAGAGCGTATAGCATTTAACACGCTTTGGTTTACTCTTTCCGCCGCATTTGATTGAGGCGAGTAAAATGCTGTTTTCAAATGGGCTATTTTAAATCCCTCCATTAGTTTTTCAAAATCCTTGGATACAAATTGTTTACCATTGTCTGTATGTATGACTTCCGGCACACCAAACTGTTGAAACACATTTTCAATTAAAAAGGATATTACATTCTTGCTGGTAGCTTCTTTCATCGGTTTTAGAAAAACAAATTTTGTTAGATGGTCAACCACCACTAAGACATATGCGTTTCCTTTACGGGACCGAGGATACTTTCCCAGAAAGTCCACGTACAGCTTCTGGAACGGTCGGTCAGTCTGAACTTCATTTCCTATTTGGGGCATCATATGTTTATTCGAACTTTTGCATTTCCGACAAATATTGCAGTTCTTTACAAAATTCCGGACGTGTATTGCCATGTTAGGCCAGTAGTATTTTAGTCGTAGGTGACCTAATGTCTTCTTTATACCCCCATGGGATTTATCCTCAGGTTCATGAGCCGTTTTAATAAGAGTGGTTGTTAAATTTTCTGGTACCCAGAGTTTAAACTCATATTCTTCCAATTCCATATCAGCTCGTGGAGCTGTACGCTTAAAAACAAATCCATGTTCTACTTTTATATCTGGAAATTTTTCTTTATTTTCGAGGATAGTTTTGATCATTTCTAAATAAGTTTCTGACTCAAACTCCACAGTATCGAATCCTACCACGTCTTCAGGCATCAGTATCTCTTCTACTAACCTCGACAAGTTGTCGCAACTATATTTTCAGAACCCTTCTTGTGTTCTATTTTAAAATCAAACATCTGAAGTTGTAAAGCCCATCTCGCTAATCTACCGTTTAAATCTCGCAATGACATCAACCACTTCAGGCTTGCGTGGTCAGTAATGATGGTAAAGGGCATTAGCTCATTTATACCACTACTTATTGTATCCTTACTGTGAATTCCTTTACCACCAAAAATCTTTTTTCTAACCTTCATATAATTTGCCAATCTTTCTTCATATGGTACTATATTATGCCTTCTTGGAATCTTATTAATACTCTCTCTTTCTACTTCTTTTGTCCTTTTCAGTATGGTGATCTGATTTGGAGAATCAATTCCTAAAGTGGACAATCCATTCCCATTTATTGGTCGGGAGCAATCACAGAGCGCGTCTCCCCCGACTTCGACACGCCCTTCATTCCATTTCCCAGACATTTCGGGCAGGTGGGGCAGGTAAACCCTGGACATCCGCATCTGTAACAGAAGAGATTACGCTGTGGGACTGGACACTCGAAATACGTATGTCCGGAGGCTTGACAGTTCCAACAGGTAAGTGTACTCTGTCTCTTTTCCGCTGTCCGTTTTTGGTTCACCTCTTCAACTATTATTACTTCTTCGTCCATTTGATCTCCCAGCTGTTCATCCAGATAAACCTCGTTCACCAGATATTGGCGGCGTGTTTGCTGTGGAATTTTGACAGTTGGGATAGAGTATTTCTCCTTTTTTAAATAATTTTTCTCTAATTCCTTACATTCATCTCTCAATTGATCAATGGTGTATATTTTCATGGCATATATTATATGGGATAGGTCTGGACGCAAGTTTCTCTTGACGATCCTTATCATGTCTGTTTCTGGCAGTGGTGTTCTTAATTTTGACCTAAGCTTTTTCATTGCATGAAAATAGTCATCAATTGATTCCCCTACTTTCTGTTTCCTTTCTTCTAAATCTCGGAGATATTCATACTGGCTACGACTTGATTTATATTGTTGCATTAAGGCCTCTTTTAGATCAGTCCAATTATATATATCTTGGTTTACAATCAGCACCCAAAACCACTCTTTAGCATCTCCCTTCAGTAGAAGTTGGAAGTCACGGATCACTTCACTCCAGGGACACCCGTATACACGTTGAAGATGTTCAATTCTGAATATGAAGTCTTCAACGTCTAATCCATCGGATCTACCATCGAAGGAGATGTTCCATTTGTCCACCACGATGGGGTATTTGTTACCAATAGCTGCTGCTGTTTGTTGTTTGGTAACAGGCATTCGATAATTATATTCCGGTTGATCGAATTCTAACCTTCGCTGAGCAGCATTTTCGTTGGAAGGTCGGGCCTTGATCGGGGCCCTATTTACCTGATCCTGTCCTCTAACTAAACCATATAGCCTGGACGAGCCTATACTACAGTTTTCTAATTCGGAATCATTTTGCCTACTGCCTATACTTAGTTTAGCGATTTCCTTCTGTATGTGCTCAAATCCTACCTGTATGCTCTGTTGGATTCTATCTTCTATTCTTTCCACCAACTGAGATCTACAGGTATTGTTAGCCTCTTCTATTAATGAATTCACCATTGCGGCGTATTTTTCAGGACTACTCCTAGGTCTGTTTGTCGAAAGTGGGATAGTCGGTGGTGGTCTTGTGAAGTCATGTTGGTATACTGATTGGGTTATTTTCCGTTACCGGTTTCTGATTACACCCAAATGGTCCTTGCAATGTGGGAGGTTGGCTGTTATTTGTTGGGTTGCTACCTGTGCTGGTTGAAGCCTTAGGAGAGCGTTCAATGGGCATTTTGTTGGTATTAGATAATTCTAAGATTTTTTCAAAAAAAAAAATAACCTTACGGTGTAATATGTGAGATTTTTATCAAATGTTTGTTGGTGTGAATAATGATAGATTGGTAATATATAGTTTTTTAGACCACTGGAATACAAAAAAAATCTTTGACGTATAAACAAACAATAACAAGACAATTACATATCAACATTGAGGAAGGTTCAAAAGGATAATTTATGGGATGGATATGTTCTTTACAGTTGGTGCTTTTATGCTGGTTATTAGCTCATTTTTTCTACTACAAACAATACATATACTAACGAACATCCAGAACAATTCTATAACTGGGTTTCGTATTACAGGGTTAAAGGATAATAATCGAGCAATCTGATTTGTTACGTACGGAGTCTCAATTTATTTCCTAGTAGATATGGTTTTGTTTCTGTAACTTGAAAGGAACAATTATAGAAATACTTCTAAGTTTCTCTTTCACGTTAACACGTCCTTTAAATCACTGGACGGAAAATTACAAAAACAAAATTTTACTATTTTTATCACCACAGTTATTGGGTAACCATGGCTCTGACCTGTTTTTTTTTTAAATTGGGCGCCATTACTGTTATGTTTCCTCCTTCAAAACGTGTCGGTCCCGGCTAATTTGTAAATGGGTCGTGGTTCAGCAACACTATGACACTTGAGGGCATAACAAGTAAACGAAAAACTGCAACAAAATGGACTAAACATACTAAAACAATTTGAACCAATAACCAACATTTTCGGGGGTCTAGAATACTAGCCCCCTTCATCACCCACCCAACCTAATGTTCCTCAGAACCCCTTTTTTCAGCACCAACGACATCTATTCCTTTGCCGCTACATATCCATCCTTATCCCTTTTCCCCTTCCTTCAAGACAAACTAACACATCATTTTCAATACTAATCTTACATTTATTACATATTAAAATGCTTAGACATACTAATTTATATAATATTAATTTTCTATCATGAAATTTGTTTTCTTTTTCTTTTCAGATTTAACTACAAATATTTAATAATAAAAAAAAATTTTAAAATTATGAAATTAAATTTACTGTATAATAATGCATTGCCTTTTTTAACACATTGGAAAATAATAAAAAAAAGAATTTGAAAATTTGCCTGGGTCTAACCTTAATTTTGTTATGTCCTACTTTAGAAATTCCTCACCAGTTAGAGCTCCTCCTAGTAATTATTTCTAATGGACTAACTTGCCTTGTTTAAGAGTAGATCCCTAATGCAATTCATTTAGTTACAAAATATATTATTAAAATTAGAATAAGCAAACAAAAAAAAATATATATATAAAATCTTAAAAGTAACAGAAAGCTAACTAGGACACACACAGACGCACAACAAAACATAAACTCGCCAATATCGAGCAACTCCTTAAAATATGCTATCACTTAGCTGTTTTTTTTTTTTTTTTGGATCCACTCCATAGACAAATGAAAATATAGACAACGAAATGCTCTCACCGTTTATATTCGAAAAAAATCGGATCAGCAGATGTCGTCCATATCGTTTCAGGGGTTTGAGTGGGAATTTTGAAGTCACTCAATTCAAAAATGTTAAAAATAACAAAAACTGTAGGATATTTGTCAGTTGAAAATTATTTCATAATAAAAGAAATGTGAAAAGTACGTGATGACATCGAAAAATATGGGAATATTCCAGTGAAATTCTTGAAAAACGATAAAATGTGTTTTCGAAGTCGAGTGGCTTGAACGCGTAAATCAGCATGTTGACTATGCAAAACATGATGAGAGCCATCTGGAAAAAAAGACAAAACTAACTTTTCGTTGTCTATATCTTCATTTGTCTATGGTATAGACAACGAAATGCTCTCACCGTTTATCTTCGAAAAAAATCGGATAAGCAGATGTCGTCCATATCGTTTCAGGGGTTTGAGTGGGAATTTTGAAGTCACTCAATTCAAAAATGTTAAAAATAACAAAAACTGTAGGATATTTGTCAGTTGAAAATTATTTTATAATAAAAGAAATGTGAAAAGTACGTGATGACATCGAAAAATATGGGAATATTCCAGTGAAATTCTTGAAAAACGATAAAATGTGTTTTCGAAGTCGAGTGGCTTGAACGCGTAAATCAGCATGTTGACTATGCAAAACATGATGAGAGCCATCTGGAAAAAAAGACAAAACTAACTTTTCGTTGTCTATATCTTCATTTGTCTATGCTCTCAGCTCGAGTTCCACCTTATCCACACGGTGAGCCACGGATACAAAGGTGCGCACCAAAATCCGGCGTACCACGTATGAAAACGCTTTGCTCCGATAATTCGAATTTTGTGGTTTCGTTATATTTGGCCAAAACAATTCGCTCTATTTATTCCACATTAAAAAAAAACACAGACGGTCTAAATCAAACACACTTACATTCAGATATATTCCGCACAAGTTAAAACTAATTATTCAAACTTGTATTTTTTTTTTCCAAAAGTTGACTTTAAAATTGTTTCAAAATTTAAAACGGTTTTTAATGATTCCAAATCTTTATGCGTTAACCGTATTATATATATATGTGTATTTATTATTTTTTTTATCAAGTTGAAATGAGTTGCTGCTTTTTCTACGACTTCTGAGCAAATAATTTGTATCGCCTTATACCACAGCCTATAAACTTACGATCATTGGTTGTTTTTCTCAAGTTATTTTTTTTTTTTTTTTTTTTTTTGAGAACATCATACTCTCTGATGCGCTTAGAATTGTTCCCTATTACCAACAAAATGTTCATCTTGAACAACGGTCCAAGTTCAATGGTCGCATGGCCTTGAAATGTTCATATTTTTTTGGCTCATTTTACGTGCGTAATTCTCTTACGTACGCTCTTCCATACTTCTACCCGACACATAACTCCAATACACAACCTTTCCAACACTGGCCTGTCAAAACGAACAAGTTCCACAAACAGCTGTTTTCATACCACTTGGTACTGGTGGTATCAGCAGCAATAAAATTAATACGGACAAATATAAAAATAAAAAAATATCGCGGGCAGAAAAAAACCCCAACAAGCAAATATATTCTGCTCGCATTCTTAGGCGAAGTAAAAATATTGTGGGCAGAAAAAAAGAAACCCCAAACCAGAAATTCAATTTTGCTGGCGTTCAAAGCACCGGCTGAGCACACGTCTTCCCACCCTCATGAAAATTGCATCATGTGATGCGTACCAGGAGATACGGCTTGAAAACCAGGTGCTGCACACAATTTGGACTCCTGCCCTTCTACCATAAGCCTGGATGGTATCCGTCACCTTCAGGTATTTAAAATATTCGGATTGGGCTAAGGTACCCAATTATGTTAGCCAGCGTTACAGTCGACTCTGCCTAACTGAAACTCGTTGGCTAACTATATGATTTTATTTATGTTTCAGGCATGAACTGTACAGGCTATGGCATATATACTGTCTAGCTTGTCTGTTGCTTATGCCGAGAAAATCGGAATGTTGTGCCCCAATCTCCTACCCGTCCCTTTTCCTTAATTCCAGCTGTCGTTTACTATCTCACTGCTACCCTCAACATAATTTTTCTTCAAATTAAAAAAAAACGAAAAGTTGTGTATAACCAATCTTAGGGGAAATAAAGTTGTCAGATGTAACTACAAACGTATCGTGGGAACAGGTTAGTTCGTGTACTTAATTCTGAGAGCAAACAACGTCATTCAGTTTATCGTGTGAACATGCTATAACTTCACGCTTTTAAGTTATTGATTTATGGGCAAGATCGAAATATAGCGATATCGACACTATGTCTTCCGCATTATTTGTAACGTTAACAAACATATACCCTACCGATACGCTTGTCGTCGTTAAGAATAATATTTATAGCTATAATAAAATGTCTCAATAAATGTATTAAATTTAAAACAAGTGATGGGGATTTAACGTTCTTCACTACAAACAACTTAGACAAATTACCTGCCATTTTTAATCATTCCTAATGCCCATCAATTTTGCAATTTAAACATGCTATATTTTTTTCTTCATTACCTGTGCTTCTCAAGAATGTTATTGAACGTCCTTCAATTTTTTGTCTTTGTTGGATGTAGGTTAATATCAGAAAATGTTGAGAAATGGCCCAAAGATCTTCACATTCGGTAGTTCATCAATGATGCAAGAAACATTGTCACGTCACAAAATTTTGAATGCATCAATCAGCATTTTTTTATTATGATAGTCGCTTGTCGTTTAAGAGCTTCTACATAATCCAGATGATTCGGAAACGATTGATCCAGAAAGTTGTTCCATTTTTCTTTAATTATTAAGGTTCTGAACCAATGATTGTTAATCCCTACAATCCATTTTGCATAACATATATTTTAATAAATTTCTTGCTAAATTCGCCAATTGGTTTAATTTTCTGAATACACGTTGAAACAGGCAAATTAACATTCATGGTTCAAATTCTGCGTAGTTTTCTACTTTGTTTCCTTTCACTCAATGATTTAACCAAACTTGCACTTGAATCTCTGCATCCATTTCGTTCTCTCTTGTATTGCTATCACACGGTAATTTATGGAAAACTAAGTCCTGTTTGACTTCTGCTCAGATTTTAAATCCTCCCTCGCATTCTACTTCCTCCCGTCATAACTTAATCCTTTTGTCAAATAAAAAACGTCAAAAACCCTCAGGCAATTAAATTTCTTTGCAGAAAGCCGGGAATAAAAAAGCTTGTATACAAAACTTAAGATAAATATTCCAAGCAGGCCACAATTTTTTTACTCGATCAAATTTGTCGAGAACTACACTTTTAGAAAAATAGACTGTTAAGAAACATTTTTGAATTTACTTCGCTTTTAGGTCTATTTTTTAGTGCACTAAGGAATTATAATGAATTTGCTGCCCAGTAATTAATTTCAATTTTAAGTCTTGCTTTTTCGAATTCGAGGATCGCCTAATCTTCTCTCTGCTAACACCAGCAAAACATATTCATTTAAAAACTGTAGACTTTTCGGTCTGTATTAATTAAAAATGCATATTCTTCCTTCCGTCTTGCCAGAATATGTATTTTTTATTTTCAAGAACCACGTTTATGAGCTGTTTTTACATTTAATTTATTCATATTAGTCCTCTCTTCTTTTTGTAGTCTTCTAGGTTCAAAGAACGCTTTGTGGTTGTTTCTGCTATTTTGGGAACTGGCTTCGGCAGATTGTTGACGGCATTCACTGAAAGTAAATAGTAAATAACTTATTATTGAGAGGCGTACACATAATGATGGAAACATAAATTTATGACTATTAACGTCTTAATAATATTTTATTATTGTCTCACTAATAAAACATTTTCCATAAACGAACGTTCATTAACTCATATCATATTAAGACAGTTCTATAACAGAGAACATGAAAGCTTTTACGTGTACTTTCTGATTTTAATTTAATGTATCAACTGTATAAATGTAGACGTACCAAAAAATTGGTTAACGACAAGTATCTAATTGTTATTAATCGCTTAAATCATAAAATCCTGCTAACATTACAATTTTTTTTTTGTTTCGTTTCGTTATTTATAAAATCTAATTACTATCATAACTAGCATAATGGGAAACTTTACTTCAACCAACTCATCGAGACATTCCTTTATTTGGGTTATTGCCCTGCATACAACAAACAATCGGCCCTATTATGGTTGTCGTCGGCGTCGCAAAATGAAGTCGAAGCGACAATAATGATATTAGGGTTGTCGTTTTTTGTCGATAGCGACAAATGATTGCTATTATAACTGTCGATACAACAGTCGACGTGAAGTCGATTTTTAAGAAAATCTGTCGCCGTAAAAAATTGTGACGACATTAACAACAGCAAAACAATTTGAAATGTTAGTTTCCGAATTGAATAAAAAAAACCATGTTTGCCAAAGGGTTTACCAAAAGTAATTTTACAGCTAATTTTAAATTAGATTGGAATCCATTGCTAAAAAATTAAATGTAAACGGTCACCGATTAGAGACTGGCAAGAAGTATATTAAAGTTAAAATTATTTTTGTATGTTTTTATTAGTTAGTTTTCTAAAGTTCGTCTAGGCTTGGAAAAATTAAAAATGTAAAACTAAAAAACAATTGTGCACAATAAGGGTGAAGCCAGCAGCACTGGAGGTGATATTTTTAAGGAAATGACTTTGTCGCTTTGGGAGAAGTCCTTCGCGAATGTAATGCAGTTTCAAACGTTACTGAATGCACCAGGTCGTGCATTTGGAGTAAAAAATACGGAAAACATAATTGTAACAGACGTTATAGATCATGAAAATGAGCCAGTGGAGAATGCTGATGACGAGACTGATGTAACTACTATCCAAAATTCTCGATCGCCCAAAAAAAAAACAATGATAAAAAATCATCAAGGAAAGAAGAAACTATTGAATTCTTGAAAGAGCAGTATAAACTTTTGGAACAACACAGTCAAGAGTCAGGCAATGCAAACATATTTGTTTGCTGGCTTAGCACTCGCCGCTGCTCTACTAATACATTCTCCACTTCATCCTCACTTGAACTTAAGCTATGTAACGCATTTATAATATCCATTGTTTCACTATATTTTTTATTTTTCCGAAAGAGACGAAATTAGAATTCAAAATAAAAACAAATTTTTATCTTATTTTGTCAATAACAAGGGATTGTTGCCAACGCCTTTTTTAGTTGTTGCCAACTTTTATTTTAAACTGTCGATGTCGCTTCCATGCCTTAGCGTAATACCATTTTTGAATCGAAGCGACGGTGAGGGCGACTTGCACATAAAGTCGACGACGACTATAGAAACGAAAACCGTAATTGGGCCGAATATTTTAGGTCAATTGTTTGTTGATACTGAGGAACAATAATATTAGAAATTAACTAATTATATAGTATGTTTTAGTGTTTTAGTTTAAACATTAAAAAAAAAATATTTTATTAAATAAATTCGAGGAATCAACTGTTCTTGACAAGATTTGGATGTCGACACTCTTACACGGTTTCTTTTTCGCTTAGTTATATAATCAAAACAAAAGGAAACGAACGAGATTATCCACTTGATTGACTTTTGTTGTATCACTATCAAATTAGTCACCTTATATTCTTGGGGTTTCCCAAGGCGTCGGTCAAATCGTTCCCTCCATTGTTTTCGGCAAAGCTGCATGTTACGTTCAGCATCCTTCTGCTTTTCATCAACAAAATTTATATTTCTGAATTCATTGTACATACACAAATCAGAGATGGGAATCTATTTTTTATACAGCGCAATTTAACCAGGTAAAATACAGAAAATGCAGACATGGGTATGTTTATTTGAAATGACTTTATCTTAATTTTACTATGTATTATTCATGGTAATTATGAATTAAAGAACACTTAAAAGTGTTTCCGTTTTAATATCCACGCTGAAGATAATGATTGCCGAGTATTTAGAATAAACTAATGATTTCCGAACGAATTGACAAAAAGCGTTTCCAAAGTTTTCATTCTAATTATTGTTTTTTATGATCAATATAACAAATAAATAAAAAGACATGAATTGAACATAATATTACTTCCTACATTATTTTTAATAAGTTAATACAAGAAGCTAAATTTTGCAATGAGTATTGCACTGTTTCGTTTTCAATGTTATGTCAACCAGCCGAGTAGTTTTGAGATATCATGGGTAGTGATAGTGAACTATATAGTATAAGTTTATACGAAGAAATAGAAATACTAATTGCAAAAATGTGGAAGAGGCGCTACTTGAACCCTCCATTTAAACTTTAAAACCGCCGATTAACTTTTTCTTAGTTTTACCTTTACTTTCATAATCAGACGGATTTTTCCGTGTGAACTACAGCTGGAATTATTCCGAGTGTACAAAATACTTTGTACATATTTTTGAGTGCGTTTGAGGCGCTCGAAAAAACTAGTAATAAACAAAAAATATTCTAAAATTACATATTTCCCAGCCGCCATAAAATACCACATGTGAACAATTCGGTGATCTTGTGCGCTGACGCATACGATAATGTGTGAGATAATAAAGGTTATGACCCACGCACATGTATCGATGCGCTCAGTAGATGCACAAGACCACTGGAATGAAATGTCAAGCAGCCCTGCAATGTTCTCCATTCAATATTAGAATAGATAAGAATAATTTTGTGGCTGCGATTAGGTTAAGTTAGATTAGTTTTTGTAGCACTTAAGAAACATATTTTTGAAATAAACTCAGAATTGAATCAACAACCAAACCATTCGGTTGGTTTTCTTTTCTCACTATTACATTGAACCTCCGAGCAGGATCCGAATAAAGAAAAGAGTTGACAATCTAAGAGGGAGATTGGACTCTATTCTAATTTACACCGAGAGAGGGAAAATTTATCAGGCAACAAGACAATGCTGGGTCAGAAAGAGACTTCAACAGGGAAAACTGTGGTAGCGGTGTCACACGTACTGATGGCGATTTGATTTTAGATAAAAACAGAAGCGGCGAGACTATAAGTCCGTATCCCCAGGTGGACGAATCGTTTAAATAGCCGCCACTGACAAATTTCGAGAAAGGACCCAACCATGTACAGGAAATGAAGTTGGGCACAAACCATTAAGGGAGGTTTTGGCTTCTTCGGAGGAAACCCGTAGAGTAGCCGAAGCCGAGAGTAATGAACTCGCTGCGAAAATTAAAGACAATACTAGCAAATGTGAAAGAGTTGGAGTAAAAGACCTCATTACTGATGCCGCCGTTTAACTTTTTCTTAGTTTTACCTTTACTTTCATAATCAGACGGATTTTTCCGTGTGAACTACAGCTGGAATTATTCCGAGTGTACAAAATACTTTGTACATACTTTTGAGTGCGTTTGAGGCGCTCGAAAAAACTAGTAATAAACAAAAAATATTCTAAAATTACATATTTCCCAGCCGCCATAAAATACCACATGTGAACAATTCGGTGATCTTGTGCGCTGACGCATACGATAATGTGTGAGATAATAAAGGTTATGACCCACGCACATGTATCGATGCGCTCAGTAGATGCACAAGACCACTGGAATGAAATGTCAAGCAGCCCTGCAATGTTCTCCATTCAATATTAGAATAGATAAGAATAATTTTGTGGCTGCGATTAGGTTAAGTTAGATTAGTTTTTGTAGTACTTAAGAAACATATTTTTGAAATAAACTCAGAATTGAATCAACAACCAAACCATTCGGTTGGTTTTCTTTTCTCACTATTACATTGAACCTCCGAGCAGGATCCGAATAAAGAAAAGAGTTGACAATCTAAGAGGGAGATTGGACTCTATTCTAATTTACACCGAGAGAGGGAAAATTTATCAGGCAACAAGACAATGCTGGGTCAGAAAGAGACTTCAACAGGGAAAACTGTGGTAGCGGTGTCACACGTACTGATGGCGATTTGATTTTAGATAAAAACAGAAGCGGCGAGACTATAAGTCCGTATCCCCAGGTGGACGAATCGTTTAAATAGCCGCCACTGACAAATTTCGAGAAAGGACCCAACCATGTACAGGAAATGAAGTTGGGCACAAACCATTAAGGGAGGTTTTGGCTTCTTCGGAGGAAACCCGTAGAGTAGCCGAAGCCGAGAGTAATGAACTCGCTGCGAAAATTAAAGACAATACTAGCAAATGTGAAAGAGTTGGAGTAAAAGACCTCATTACTGATGCTGAAGTTTTTGGCTGGAGTAGCAGGAGATTTTGTACGCAATAGATCTAAGAAGGCCTCATTACTGAAGCAGAAGTTTTTAGCTGTAGTAGCAGGAGATTGAAAATGAGCTATTTGAGCTTGCAACTCAAAGGACTTAATAGCAAGTTTATGTAATTATGCTCAATTTTGAATCACGAGATATCTGAATACACCAACATACAATTTTTTAAAATAACAAATTAAGAAATAGCATGGGAGAACTAATGATAAAACCTCGGCGTCAATATCTCCAATTCTCGGTGAGATTTTCAAAGCTTGTCTGTGCCTATCCTACATACCGTAACTATGGAGGAATGTTACGGTTACATCCTAAAAGTTGGGAAACCAAGTCACTCAGGACTACAGACCAGTCCGTCTATCATCTTTTACATTAGAAAGGCTGATAGACATAGAAATCTGATCTCTACTACCCACGACTGTCATTAGCAGTGTTCAACATGCTTACATTAAAGGAAAATCTTTTGAAACAGCGCAATACGATGTTGTAGGGTTCATTGAGAA